CTCTCTCTGTGTGTGTGTGTGTGTGTGTGTGTGTGTGTGTGTGTGTGTGTGTGTGTGTGTCTGTATGTGTGTTCAAGGTCGGAATTGTGAGCTCGTTCCTAAGAGACAACTGTTCCATCGATCAGTAAGGGTAACTGTGCGATCAGGAAGCCGAATACGAGCACGATCGTACGGTACACCTGCGCAGCACTTACACCTCGGTTGGGAGTGGGCGGGGCTGAAAACAATTGAGGAGATGGAGATATTAAAGGAGTGGAGGCGTGAGCCGGAGCCGCAGCTGGAGGGAGTTTTGTCGAGTTCCGTGGTGACGTGGCATTGCTCGTGGTTGTTGCGTTGGACAATTTGGGTTTCAACCCCGGAGAAGACGGCGGTGCAGCACTTGGAGCAGATACCTCATGGCGCGGCTTCGGCGACAGCTGCTGCTGACTTCGTGAAGTCAGCGAAGTGCCTGCAACTTCAAGCACGTCTGATTCGGAAGGGGAAACTACCTGCCTTGTTGGTTGCGATGCCGGCTCATCCTCCGGCTGGGAGGGGGCAACTACCTTTTCTCTGACAACAGGGCTTGCAACGGTATCCGCTTTCTTACCATCACGATCGTTGCCTGATGGCTGCACCATTTCTGTGACGACGCCGGGGGTTAAACTGGTACCCGCTTTCTTTCCACTATGATCGTTACCTGATAGCTGCTGCACCGTTTCCTGTCCAGAACCGATTCCTTTGCCCAGAACCGCGCCATCAGAAGTGCCCAATCGACTGCCGTCCTCTTGCGTACTCCCTGGCTTGTCGCCAACAGATAATTCTCCCTCGGTCAACGTGGGTGAATTGCCGGAGACTGACTCCGAGTTCTCTGCCGTTGATGTAGACGACGTCCTTCCTATGACGGATTGTGCATCAGCCGCTGAGGCCGAACTCTTGCCTGGTCCTGCAGGCTGAGCACCTCCTGCTATCTCGGAGCCTGCTGTAGCTGAGGCTGCGTCGTTGACACCCTTGGCTACGTCCGGCACCGCTACTGCCCCACCAACGTCGCCCCCGTCAGACTGTGCCCCGGAGCCGGACACCTCAGAGGAGGAGCTGGACACCTCAGAGGAGCTGCCCTTCAACCAAGGACCCGCTGCCGAATCACTAGGTTTATTAAGTGCTGTGTTTGTGTTGGAACCACCATCTCCATTTCCATCTGCAGGCTGAGCGTTTCCTGCTCCCCCCGCTACTGCAATGGCTGCATTACTTCCATGATCGCTGCCGCCCCCTTCCGCTCCCCCTCCCGTTGACTGAGCTCTCGCAAGGTAGACAAGACGGACAGTAGGAGAGCTCAAGGTGATCAGCTCCGAGATCAGCATGAAACAGCCGACCGTAGCCATCACTGTCATCAAGTTATGCATGGAGTCCGACGACGAAGAGGAAGATCCCCGACGGCTGGCCATATCCGAGTCAGCTCGAGCTTGTTCGTTCTCTGAATCTCCGCCGAACAACCGATGCTATGCCGCTGCGCCCCTCCTCCCCAAGATTGAATGCAAGTACGACACCTCCACCCGCGCCACTTTCAAGAATCTGTTTGTTTGACGATCGTGGATTCCAGGAGTTGAGCAGGTCAACGGAGCTTCACATTGTGAGCCAATTCCACTTAGACTACAGTGCACTCCCACTGAGGCACTCCAGGCTGGCAGTGGCTGCCTCTAACCACAATGACGACGACAAGGCCTTGAAGGCCGTCGTGGGTGTACAGGGATGCAATCACATCCAGAAGTCCGTCGAAAATTAAAGAGTTAGGAGATGTACTCCACCCTTTCTCCCACGTATTTCCAGCGGATACTTCTCCTCCATACGAATGGCATGCAAGAGGGCTAAGTGGCGATGGATGTGACTCCTAGGGATTGAGCGAGTGGCTTTATAGTCATCCACGCCTCGCAGGGCAGATCATTTTTTTTTTCTTTTTTCTTTTTTTTTTTGATATGTGCAGTCGAACTGCGGCTGGGCTATGATCTGGACGCCGTGGACGGGACGTGGCACTGGGTAGGGTTCGCGATGCAGTGGATCGGGCGGGACAGCAGGAGACGAAGCCCGAGTCACATCGGGCTGCGTGTGATTTTGGGGCCTCGCCGCACCACTGACCAAATGTGCAAAATGAGAATGAATCGGCCGCTAGAACATGGAAAGATACACGGTCATGGGTGAGTGTTGTGGCGAGCCCCATCCTTCTTTGTCTACGGCGGGTCAATTTCTATTTTTCTATTAGACAATTTCTATTTTTCTATTTCAATCCTGACGTACACAACGGCGTGTACGACCTGTATATGAACAGATCGTGAGTTGGAGAGCCCAGTGTATTAGCCTTTGGGCATTTAGCTTTGACGTACCTGGGCGCCATTTCGGCATTTTTTGAACCGAAATCGGTTCAAAAACAAAAAATGCCGAAATTGCGGCTCGAAACGTTGCCCAAAGTGTATTATTCGGTTTGTACAGACCATCGGTAGACAGAGAGTCCCGTGTATTTTTTTGTGATGTGACTTGCCCCAGCCGTGGGACAGCGAGTCCAGTATATTATTAATCATAAAAAAATGGAAGTAGAAAATCGCCTGGGCTTCAGCTGCTACCGGGAGTGCAGTTGACGGGTCCATGCCGTAACCAGTTGTCAAGGGACGGCAGCTTATTGGGCTTGACCTGTTTTGCTAGCGACTATTTTTGCACCACGACCGAATGCTGACCGTGGTACCTGCCTTGTGGCTGACTCGTACACATGTGTATCGGTCGCAGACAGATCATCATGAATGATTCGAACTCGTCACGGCTACCGTAGCCTTGTGGGCTGCCCCGTTTACACCACCACGGTCCAGTACTTGGCCCACTGGCAGCTATAGGTCGCGGAACTTTTCCAGTCGGATGAAGTGGGGCGCTTCTTCTGTAGTGGCCCGTACGTTTCATAAAGTCGCGGCTTGTTTATGGGCACAACTTTTTTTTTTTTTTTTTTTTTTTCTTCCTGTCGAATATGGACAGGACGGGCCTTTCAGGTCCTTTTCAGGCCTTTTTAAGGCGGGCAACGCCGTAGCAGCCAGGCAGGTGGGCGATACCGGCCAGGCCGGGGGTCAGCCGGTCACTGTGCCTCCCTCCCCCAATGCCACTCGGGGGTACCAGCGTCCTAGCTCAATTGATTAGGCACGCGAGTGGCATTCAGGAGGTTGTGGATTCAATCCCCACGGCCTCCTGTGGCACTCTTGGTGCCATCCAACTGTCCAGTTGATGTGGCTCAGTGGTTAGAGCACGGGTTGGAAATGCGCATCGTGGTATGAGGTTGTGGGTTCAAAACTCAATTTCAACCTTGCGCATGGACACCGGCAGGGCGGCAGATTGACGCACGGCTGGACACACTCCCTTGGGCTGACGCATGGTACTATTGAAGACACTGCCTGCGCACCACCCAAAGGTTGTTCATGGTGTTGTATGCTGGTTCTGGGTTTCACATGGGTTGCTTGGGGGTGTTGGTCTTGGGTGTTCTGTTGATCTCCCCAGTCTGGCATATCACACGTCCGTGCCATTTCTACTAGCCGTTCACATGGTAGAGTCATACGATTACATGTTTCAAGGTCACGGGTTCGAGCGTGGTTCGGATCTTGGGGGGGTCCTTCTCCAGCTTACCCCGTTCACTCTTCGATATACACACATGATGCTGCCTATACATCTCAATACATTGATCCACAGAGCACACACAGCCTTCGGGCATATACATAGCTTGCGAATTATACATGGCCTTCGGGCTACATACACAAGTTCCACACATAGTGCTGTCTGTATATCTTCATACATAGATACACGAAGCATACACAGCCTTCAGGTGTACACATATATTGCGAACTACACAACTATCAGACTGGGGGGATCTAGTCACTGGGTGGGGTCTAGTATCTGCGGTAGGGACAGGTATGGGCCACCATAGTTCCTACTGATATTCGGGTAGAACTGTCTAGTGGCTATATATAAGGCCTAGCCCCTGGGGTAAGGGTAGGGGTATAAGTCGCTCAGGCCAGTCCGAGTTCCGTCTGGCCTTGGGTAAGCTAGGAGAAGGACGGTAAGACTGCTTCAATGGGTGCTACCCTGTCTGACACCTAGGGCCCAGAGTCTCTTGGGTTCTGTTGTAGATTGTCTGGGCCTGGCGTCCGAAGTTCCCGTTAGACAAGGCTCATCCGATTCCGCTTCCACCAGGGCTGGGCAACCTATCAGCCCTGGTGCCTATCACTGCTGTTCGGTCCAAGTTACCTGCCCATTGGTAGGGTAATGGTCCTGAGTGCTGGTCACACTGAGGTAGGATAGTGGGATAGGGGGTGCGCTAGGAGTATTGATGTGAGGATGGGATGGGAGGTGGTCTCATATTCCAGGACACCCACGGCCTACTGCTCCAGGTGATCACTGT